AATGTGGAAACTATCGAACAATATCATTAACATCACACGCAAGTAAAATTTTGCTGAAGATAATTAAAAAACGGTTGTAGCAGTACATTGTCAGGGAACTGTCACCAATTCAAGCCAGATTCAGAAGAGGACATGGAACCAGGGATATCACTGCTGATGTCAGATGGATCCTGGCTGAAAGCTGAGAACACCAGAAAGCTATTTACCTGTGTTTTATTGAGTATGCAAAGGCATTCGACTGTGTGGATCATAACAAATTATGGATAACATGGTGAAGAACTGGAATTCCAGAACACTTAATCGTGCTCATGTGGAACCTGTATATAGATCAAGAGGCAGTTCTTCAAACAGAACAGGGAGATATTATGTGGTTTAAAATCAGGAAAGGTGTGCGTCAGGGTTTTATCCTTTCGCCATACTTATTTAATCTGTATGCTAAGCAAATAATCCGAGAAGCTGGACTATATGAAGAAGAACTTGGAATTAGGATTGGAGGAAGACTCTTTAACAACCTGCAATAAGCAGATGACACAACCTTGCTTGCTGAAAGTGAAGAGACCTTGAATCACTTACTGATGAAAATCAAAGACTATAGCCTTCACTATGGATTACACCTCGACATAAAGAAAACAAAAGTCCTCACAACTGGACCAATAAGCAACATCATGATAAATGGAGAAAATACTGATCCACAATCAATGTCCATGGAAACAGAAGTCACGAAATCAAAAGATGCACTGCATTGGACAAATCTGCTGCAAAAAGACCTCTTTAAAGTGTTAAAATGCAAAGATGTCACTTTAAGGACTAAGGTGCACCTGGCCCAATCACCTCGTATGAAAGAAAAAGCTGGACAATGAATAAGGAAGACCAAAGAAAAACTGATGCCTTTGAATTATGGTGTTGTTTAAGAATATTGAATATACCATAGACTGCCAAAAGAAGGAACAAGTCTGTCTTGGAAGAAGTACAGCCAGAATGCTCCTTAGAAGGGACGATGGCGAGACTTCATCTCATGTACTTCAGACATGTTATCAGGAGGGACCAGTTCCTGGAGAAGGACATCATGCTTGGTAAAGTAGAGGGTCAGTGAAAAAGAGGAAGACCCAGAATGAGATTGACTGACACGGTGGCTGCAACAATGGGCTCAAACATAGCCAACGATTTTGAGGATGGTGCAGGACCAGGCAGGGTATCATTCTGTTGTACATAGGGTCCCTATGAGTTGGAACCAACTTGATGGCACCTAACAACTATTGTTCCCTCTCATCCCATGCCTAGAAGATGGAGTCTGGGAAGCCTTTTGTTCTAAAGTGGGTGATGTGTTGGGCTTTAGCAAGTTAGAGACCTGAATAGAAATCTGCTCCCATGATAGCTAGTTTAGGCTCCAGAATACAGAGGGGCCTGGTGCTTGCCTATAGGTACACACTGACTTTTTTCTTGAAAATCCTGATTCCGTTTTTGCTCTGGTCTTTTTATTTTCATCTACTTGTCATCTAAAACTGAAACAATCACAAGCTGAATTTATCAGAGATTCTATGTAGTGGAAACATGCTGAGAGCTCATTAGCATAACATTTCCCAAAGTGTGTTCTGCAGAATGCCAGTCCCGCGAGATGCTCTTGAAAGAAGTGTGCCATGGTTAAATAAATTTGGGAAACACTGTACACTCCACCTGGTCTTGGAGACTCACAGCGCATCTGAGCACGTTAAAGGCTTGGAAACGCCCTGTAGTAACATTAAACTCACATGCAGCTTCTGTAGGGGGGCCTTGGGCCTCACTTCCTAGGCCACAAGATTTCAATGCAAAAATGCTCCAAATTTCAAATCCAACTCTCCATAAACTAGAAACTTCCTACACATCATTAAAGGTTTGATGATAGCAGATATTCTTAGAAACATTACATGACCCATAAAAGATCTACAAGGTCAAACACCAATAGCTTTCAAATTTAAAATGTGTATGTATTTATACGTATCAGCGAAAGGATTAAATGTATACTTGAGTTAATATAAGGTACTCTTTTTTTTTTTTTTCTTTTGCCAGGGGGACTGATTCACATCGAAAGAGTTTTAAGTCTTCAAGATTGATTGAATATTGAACTGTCTTACATGAAGACACAAAAATCCATTGTCAAAGAAGTTTTTTTTTTACGTACAAGCAAAGCTTGTTGCATCTCAAAATTGCTCAGAGGCTATAAGGTCAAGGCTGGCGGCCTTGGTTACTATGTTTGAAGTTAGACAGCCTGTGCTCACCTAGAGAGGATTAAAATACTGGATTTATGATGTAAGACGAAAATTCTTTGGAGCTGATACCAGAATCCTAAATTAGTGAATGTCTACATTAAATCAAACATCTGGATGAAAAGATAAAATGTGAAGCAATTCTTCACACGTTTTCCAAGTGTATCGGGGCATCATGTTGATAATAGAGCTAAACATCTGACCATTTTTTCCTGTATTTCATCTCAATATTCTATTGTCATATGTTTATAGCTAAAAAACTCAAGGGGCAGATGGCCCATGGGTATCAATTTTAGTTTGATTGTAGAAAAATATTTTTGATACTCTTATGAAGGCAAATTATATTTTACTTTAAAAACCAATCTTACTGAAAGAAAAGCTGCAATACCCAGGGCTGACTTTCAACAGAAAGCACTGTATAGATGCAGCAAGGTCTGTGGAGTCAATGGTTTCTTTGAGGCTTTGCTTCTCAAGTTCTTTTACAAGGGCAGTGGGAGAACTTTGGACCTTGAGGAATACACTTCTGTCAAACCTCAATCGTATGTATTTTAGCAGAAGAAGGGTCAGGCTGTTGACTGTGTTGCTGCAGGCAAGGAGAGGGAGGAGGTGGAACAGAACTGACATTGACCACCTATTACTTATGAAGCATTCGACACATCTTAGGAGCTCTGGTGGTGCAAATGGTTAAGTGCTCGACTGCTAACTGAAAGGTTGGTGGTTTGAACCCACCCAGCAGTTCCACGGGAGAAGGCCTGGCAATCTGCTCCCATAAAGATTACAGCCAAGAAAACCGTATGTGGCAATTCTACTTTGTCACATGGGGTCGCTATGAGTTGGAGTTGACTAGACGGCACCTAACAACTTCATATGTTCCTTCATTTCAATCCTGGCAAAAACCTGCGAGGTACAAATCCTTGTCCCTGTTTTATAGATAAGGAAATCAGGACTCAGAGAAGTCCTGCAATTTGTCTAAGAAAAAGGAGTAGGTAGCTGAGTTGGGATGTGAACTTTGGTCCACCTGTCTGTCTTTCTGTCATACCAGCTCAACTCTCACAGACAAAGGTGTTTCATGCAAACAAAATGTACTGGGTAGAATGAAATTTTACTGTTTAGAATGAAACTATTGCATTTCACAGAAGGGCAAGTTGTGTTTACGACACCACTAATGAAACACTGTACATTCTTGTAAAGCCCACTGAACTGACTTTAAATAACGCTGGTAACGCCGAGATCCCATGCAACCAAACAGAATCCACAGATATTTAGAGCAGCCTTTCAGGGCTTTGCTTTGCAGTCCTTACTTTTACCACATACCACTTTTAAATTATTCTCGTCATGTCTCCCAAAATAGAAGGGATTTTTTTAAAGACTCATGAATGTTCTCTCCTATGCTTTCAATCTTCAAAAACTGAAAGGGATGAGCAACCTGCCGCATGATACAAGTGTTCTAAGTGTGAGCCAGACTAACACACCTCTGATGGTGTGATTTTTGGATTATGGTGGCATTGGTCCATGGGTGTTTTGTCAGAACTGGAAAAGACTGCTTAATGCAGTCTGATATCCATGATACTGAACTGTGGGCTGGCCTCCCAAGAATATATTATACTCCAGTTTCTGTGTAATTCTTTAAATATGTATATTTCAAATGGAACAGAGCAGAATTATAAAACTAAAGTGACATTTTAGAATTCTTCTGATTATAAATTATTTCCAGGTGACAGCCATGCATCTTTCTGTCAGCTTCAACTGCAGAATGCCCAATGTACCACATTAGAGACACCCTGAAGCAATTTGTGCCATCTTGAGGATCTATAGATCTTAAAGGAACATTTGTTGTTTTCATTGTCCAAGTTTGTAATACATGGACTAAGTTTTAGACTTAATGACAAGTATGACTATAAATGGTATAACACCATAAGGCCACCACCTGTCTGTCAGTTTGCTGTACTGTGGTGGTTTGCATATTGCTGTGATGCTGGAAGCTATGTCACCAGTATTTCAATTACCAGCAGGATCACCCATGGTAGACAGGCTTTAGGAGAGTTTCTAGACTCAGACAGACTAGGAAGAAAGGCCTGGTGATCTACTTCTGAAAATTAGTCAGTGAATACCCTATGGATCACAACAATTGTGAAGATAGCTCGGGACCTGTCAGTGTTTCATTTTGTTATACATGGCGTGGCCATGAGCTGGAACTAATGCAACAGCAACTAACAACAATAAATACCATAGGTCATCATTACAAGACTAACTTCTAATGAGCAAATGGGTCACACTTTGGCATTTCCAATTATTACCTGTAGGTGTCAAATTTGACTACTATTAAATGTATTAACCTTGTTTGCTGAAAGCAAAGAGGACTTGAAGCCCTTACTGATGAAGATCCTTAGTATTTAGAAATGGCTACCAGAGAAACCAACAGATATAATAAAGGAACGAGGAAGCCAAAAGACCTTTATTTTATTTTGGTACCAGAGGAAGAAAGGAATTTGTCGAATTTGAAAAGTGAAGTTAGTTGAGTAATGACAGTTGAGGTACCAGGTAGGAGGAAAGCTCAAAGTTTAATGGATGAGCAAAAATATAGAAAAAGCTCAGAAAAGCTGAGTCTGCCAAAATACCTTATAGTTGCTTGGTATACATTAATATTTGGTAAAGAAGCCAAAGCTTGTATGTTAATTACAAGTTGGGCTTTCAATAAAATCCAGGTACATTTTGGGGATATTTTTAATCTGTCCAAAGAGAAGGGTAGTTACTCACCACATCGAAGGCAGTAAACACATGACAGTAGTGGTGATTGGACTTCAAATCTTTTGTGATATAAGCAAATGTTGAGAGATCTTCTGGGTCCTGGGCAGCACAGGAGATGTTACGAATTTCATGCTCAGCAATTATGTTCTAGAAGAAATGACATAAAAGACCATTGGTATCCTTTGCAAAGCAACATATTTTAGAACCAAGGCCAGTGACCAGTAGCTTTCCTCCTAGAGTATTTCAGACCAGCAATGTTCAGATTGATCCAATGCTATCCATGGGCAAATGCATGTAAGGTCTGGAAGGAATGTTTTCATAATCATATCCTGCGGCAGTGGTTCTCACCAAGTGGGATACACAGATGTAGTCTGAGTGGCAGACACTTTAAAAAATACATAGTAATTACTAAGCATTTTACTGTTTGCATTCCCATATCCACTTGTAGATATGTAACACTGCCTCCTGCTGACTCCCCCTGGAAGGATCACCTGTCACTTTCTGCCTGGTGGCGCAGTGGTTAAGTGCTATGGCTGCTAACCAAAAGGTCGGCAGTTCAAATCCACCAGGTGTTCCTTGGAGGCTCTATGTGGCAGTTCTACTCTGTCCTATAGAGTCACTATGAGTCGGAATCAACTTGAAGGCAATGGTTTTTTTTTTTTTTTTTTTTTAAAGGAGGAATTCTGATCCAAGGGGGTTTCCTGATCCCTCATATTGTGCTTGCTCATTGTTCTCATGCCCTGACCCCACTCTACCAGAGCAAAAGCAGGTACAGAAAGAAGCAGGCAGGTGGAAGCATCCAAGTGCTCTCTCTCAAAGATTCCGTGAAGGCTAAGACGTAAGAGTAGGATAAGGGAAACACGACTGTTGTGGATTGAATCGTGTTCCCCAAAAAGATACGTTGAGGTCCTAACCCCTGTACCTGAGAATATGACCTTGTTTAGAAATAGGATCTTTGTTTGAAGATGTTATCAGTTAAATTATCAGTTAAGGTCATACCAGAGTAGGGTGAGTCCTAATCCCTTCTGAGTGATGTCTTATAAAAGGGAAGAACAGACATGGAGACAGTCACACAGGAGGAAGACCCTATGTGCAGACACATCTACAAGCCAAGAGATGCCTGGGGCTACAGAAGCTGGAAGAGGCAAGCGAGGATCTTTTCCTCTAGAGTGGATAGAGAAAGCATGGTCCTGCTAGCACCCTGAATTTGACCTCTAGCCTCCAGAATTATGACATAATAAATTTCTGCTCTTTAAAGCCACCCACTTTGTGGTGTGTTGTTATGGCAGCCCTAGGAAGCTAAGACAACCACGCTGCAATATTAAGGAGGTCTCACTTGATCCAGGGTCCCGCAGGTGTAACACTTTATTAATTGTATCACCATGTATAATTCTGAGGTTGGCACTGTTGCTATCATTATCTTACCGGTGAGAAAACTTGTACTCAGAGAGTTTAAGTGTCTTAGCCCTGGTGGTGCAGCGGTTAAGTGTCCAGCTGCTAACCCAATGTCGGCAGTTCAAATCCACCAGCTGCTCCTTGGAAATCCTGTGGGAGTTGGAATTGACTCGACAGAAATGGGTTTGGTTTTTGGGTTTGGACTCAGGGCAGGTGTTGGAGCTGGGACTGAAATTTGGGGTTGTCTGACTATAGAGCTCACACTCTTTCAAATACATTGTGATGTATTTCCTTCATTCACTTCTCTTACTGTTTTCATATCTTTGTTTTTCTCTATCATTTCTTTGCTCCTCCCCCCCCACCCCCTTTGCCTCCAAAATGAACAGGTAGGAAGTAAGCGAGGAAAGGTTTCTGTACTACTATTGTCCTGAAGGAGCCCTGGTGGTGCAGTGGTTAAGAGCTCAGCTGCTAACCAAAAGGTCAGCAGTTCAAATCCACCAACCACTCCTTGGAAATCCTGTGGGGCAGTCCTACGCTGTCCTATAGGGTCTCTATGAGTTGAAACCAACTCCATGGCAACAGGTTTATTGTCCTGAAGCATGAAATAATCATGGAGCATCATCTTGGCTGCAAACCCTACTAGAATCTTCTTTTGATACAAAAATGTATTTAAAAAGAAAAAAAAATCCTCACATAATAGAGCATTCGTTTTTTATCTTATAAGGTTCCATTTATGTTTTTTGCAGTTGTCACAGATATAAAACCCTCAATGCTTTACTTACCCTAATTAGTTTTTAATTGCACGATCTTAAATAACCTGTTGGCAATATAAAGTTCCGCGTATACCCATCAGTGCCTAAAAACGTTTACAGAATGTTCTTCCCTGCCAGTGCCCCCAGCAAGTACTTCATGTCCCTCACTCTACTGAGCTGTGTGGTCGGGAAACAATTACAAAATTAACACATAAAAGAAAATTAAGACATTGTTCACTGTGGCCCTGTGTGTTGACACCACAGGCAGCACTCCCTCAAAAATAACTCAAATCGAAATTGGAATCCCATAAATAAGTAACATTTTATTCCAAGATACAGTTTCAAAATAGAAGGTCATGATCCTCTACTGGCATTCAGATATCATTTCTTCAAGGAGAAAACTAAATTAGGAACTAGTGAGTTTTAAAATGAGATGGTTTACAGTCATTAAATGTGCGGATCTTAGCAGGTGCTGAGAGCCTCCGCCACCATTTTAATGGCTTAATACACTTGGCTGCTAATCAAAAGTTTAGAAGTTTGAGTCCACTCAGAGGCGCCTTGGAAGAAAGGCCTTGTGATCTATGTATCTGAAAGATTAGCCACTGAAAACCCTATGGAGCACAGTTCTACTCTGATACACGTGGCACTACCACGAGTCGGACTTGACTTGATGGCAGCTGTTTTTTTGCTCTTACCTCAGAAAGTCTGTCAATTTGGTCTCACCCTGCTCAGGACCCACTGGAAACAGAGGGAAGTTTCATTTGCTCCAACTTTTAACTAAATTGACCTTTTGTGTTCTGGACATCCTTTACAAGCATAAAGCAGATCAACTTCTTGGGAAAGTATCACAGAGAAAAGTGCCCTGTGGTTTTGCTTGCACTGAATTCCCTGAATCTTGCCAATTCACAGGATGTCACTCTTGGCAATTTCAATCATGTGGCAGCATTGTGGCTCTGGGTAAAACTGCAACACAGATCTCTGGAGATTCCTCCTCCTCTGTCTTTTCTGACACATCTTCTGAATTTAATGACCTTCCCTCCAATTTTCTGGGCCCCTTCTCTTTATTCCCTAGGAGCCCAGGGCTGTCTTCTGACTGCCCAGTGAGGTCTGCTCTCTTCTGCAATGCTCCATGTTCCAAAATCAGCCTCCTTTCCCATTGCCCACAGTGGTTAAGAGCTTGGCTGCTAACCAAAAGGTCGGCAGTTTGAATCCACCAGCCGCTCCTTGGAAACGCTATGAGGCAGTTCTACTCTGTCCTATAGGTTGCTATGAGTCAGAATTGACTGGATGGCAACAAGCTCCCATTGCCGACATTCTTATTCCTCTGTTCCCATGGTCTAAGCTAGGAGGAAAACAGGCTAATAAAAATATCCCATATTCAGGTATGAATAACTGAAAAACTTAGTTGTGTAACTGGCACTTAAAAATATGCTGAAATGAATTTGTATTGATGGCCTCTATATGGAGGAATATTTCAGCAGAGAACTTCCTGGTACACCTGCAGTGCAATAATGTGGCAAGTGACCCGAGGTCTCACTAGTTTTTTTTTAAAAAATAATTTGTTTTATTTTTTGTTGCTGTTGAGAACATACACCAATTCAATAGTTTCTGCATGCACAATTCTGTGACACTGATTACATTTCTTCGAGTTGTGCAATGATTCTCACTCTCCTTTTCTGGGTTGTTCTTCCCCCACTGACATAAACTCAGTGCCCCCTAAGTTTCCTAACTCATCTTTAAAGTTTCTGTTGTCAGTTTGATCCCATACAGATAGATCTTAAAAGAGTGCAATGCTCAAGGCAGACGTTCATTAATAGTTAAGCTAAACTATTGTTTGGTTTTAAGAAGACTTCAGGGGATATTTTTGGTTTAAAGTTTAAGGTTTAAAAATTATCTCAGAGCAATCATTTAGGGGGTTCATCCAGCCTCCACGGCTCCATAAGTCTGGATGCCATGAGAATTTGAAGGGGGGGGGTCTCCCTACTGAACCACTGCCACCACTCTGCATCATCGACCTCTGCAGAATGGTGAAGCCAGTGTTCTGCGCGTCTGATGAATCCAATACGACAGACACTAGGCTGTGGATTGCGTGGGGAGTGGGTGGTTGGTTTCTTCCTTGGAGAAGAAGTCAAGGAGGAATACATTCTTTCCACCTCGTACAATGCATCAGTCAGGGGCTCCTTCCCACATTGAAAGGTGATGTCATGGGCCTCCCTTTAAAATGGACTCCTTTTATGTTGATCAGCCTCCGTTTCTAAGCATGTTTTAAGATAACAGAGCTTCAAAAAGGCTCAGGAGAAGAACTGGGGAGAGGCTCACCAGGCTCACCGTGTACTTTCTTTGAGACTGAAAGTTTGACAGTTTAGTATCCTTAAGGTGCCTGTCTGTTGCCCTCATCATGTTGCGAAACAGCTAGAGGTGTCTAGCTGGTGAGTATAAAACAGGATTTTCTGGTCCAGCCAATTAATGCCAGGGTCCTAAGAAGGGTGTGTGATGATGAAGTGATAAGGGCCTGCCCCTCACCACTTCCCTCCATCTGAGCTATGACAGGTAGGCCGTTTCTCCTGTGTCTTCTTTAGGCCAGGTTTTCCCTGAGTGAAAGAATGCATTGTCCCCTCCTCCCCTTTCCCTCAGGCCAAGAGGGCCCCTTGGAACAGAGGCAGCAGTCCCGCTGGAGAGTAACTGGAGACACCATGCAGAGTGCCCAATTATGAGAACAGCACGCACACTTAGTAATGTGCTCTGAATTCAACTTTCAGCTTCTTCGAAGAAGAAGCATGGGCTATAAAAAACAATGGGCACTTGTTTAGGCAACTGTGCCACATTAATTTGTGCCTAAAAAACAGCATAATCCCTGTGTGACGATCTGAAGTTGGCATTCAGAAAACACAAAAAACAAAGCCCAACGATGCATTGTTCCTGATTTCCCCAGACGGGAAGGACTGAAGGGGGAATCAGCACGTTCGCTTCTCAGGCCGTGCTCAATGTGGTGAGTTTTGTTCCCTCTTGGAAGATCCTACGGACCTGAAGGAGGGTCTGTAGCTAAACAGACGCAGTCCTGTGGCCCAAAGACCATTCTAGTTACCTCTGCGCTACACAACTACAGAAAACAGAAGCGATGTATCTGCAGTGTTTTAAATCTATTCAAGTTCCATTTTTAACTCACGATCCTTTTCTGCCTCTTCCTTCTTAAATCAGGATTCATGAATCAATTCGTTTCTTAAGCTGCTAGGCAATACCATTTATGAGTTCATAACTAGGCAACTAACCCTTCCCCACGAACTCAGCCGTAACCACTTATTTATGAGAATAAAAGGAAAGACATGCTTCGCCGGCGGGCTCATCTTTTAGGTAGTCTAATGGGGACTAATAGAAAAGGAAGAGTAATTAACACATAATTAATTATCCATCACACTGCAGACTAACTGGTGGAAAGGAACTGTGGTGTAACAGAAAAAGCGTCAGGTCAGGGAGCGGGAAAATCAAGTTTTACTCTTTCTCCATGACCAACTAGTTGTGTGGCTGTTGGGGGTGTCATTTAAGGAAGGGTCCATCAATGACATGCAGATAAAACATTTATCCCCTTTGCCCCCACTTTGACAGGGCACGCGTTAAAGAAATACAATGGTTAGGAGAGCACTGCTTAAGAATAAAGTACAATGACAACAATAAATATTGATATTAAGGTGTGATTCTTGGTTGTGCCTTAAGACAGGCTTAGTGACCACAGTTGTTGAGTGTCATTGAGTCGACGGGAGCAGATTGCCAGGTCTTTTCTCCCACAGAGCAGCTGGTGGGTTCGAACTGCCATTGTGCCACCAGGGCCCTCAGGTGCTGTGAAGTTAATTTAGACATATTGCGACCCCATGTAACAGAGCAGAACTGCCACATAAGGTCTTCTTGGCTGTATCTTTACTGGAGCAGGTCACCAGGTCTTCCATGGAGCCGCTGCGTAGGTTTGAACCGCTGGTCTTTTGGTTAGCAGCCTGGTGCCTAACCACTGTACCACCAGGGCTCCGTTCGTGGCCACTAGTATCTAAAATTGGGGTCTTCAAATATGCTTGCATTTCGCAAGTCCTTCACCTCAGATCAGAGCAGCTCACCAAGACAACATTTCCCAGGGCAAACAGAAAACAGGACTTTGGAATTTATCCATCTGTTCCTTTCCTGCTGTGGGCATTAGAGGTCAATTTTTGCTACAAAACACTTGCATAGACTGTGCATATAGAGTGGCATGCAAACATGCCACTACACACTGCTGGAAGCTAGGTATCTGAGTGCAGTTCCTTTCACAGCACAACTTGAGGATAATCCTTCAACTTTGGGTCTTCTATGCCTTCTACAAGCAGTCCTCTATCCCTGGTTGCTGGCGATGTTTCTCAGCCTTCTATAGTCAAACTCCACTGATGTGGCCTTAAAACTATTTTTCTTCTACCCTTCCTCTGCATGCAGCCTCTCCACTTCAGTTTCCCACACAGCAACTACTAGACTATTGCTCTGAGCCACCCACTCTCTTCGCATTGGGTGGATCAGCTACTTTGCAGGACATTGGGAAGGAGTTCTATCACCGGTTGAAGCCCTTCAATTCCTGAAAAATCCAGGTAGACAGATACTGTCTTACATTCATAGACAAGTTGGCTCCACCTGCCATCATACACCTTGCCTTTGCTCTAGATCTTGAAAATATACTCAGGGCCACACTGGCAGGACTTGAAAGATATGTTGGCCTTCTTTACTTAGTGTCTTTATATTCACAGAATTATCTTCTTTGTATCTTTCTGTGCTTACTTCCAAGGAGTAGCCAGCCACCAGAGAGCAGAGGTTTATGAATAACTCATCTAATTACTGGTGATTGAAGCAGAAATGTTTCCTAGAGGTACAGGAGCATCAACTTCTCTAAGTCCCCTGATATGTCCTTAAGCAAAAATGCAACAGAACTGACAGGGCTCTCCCTCATCCCTCTGATCTGGGATGCTATCAATACAGAGGCATCCGATCATACCACCAGCATCATGGAATGACAGCCTTAAGACGCTGGAAACTTCTCAGGGCAAATACCACTTGTTTAGAAGTTGTCAGAATTCAAGTCTGCTATGGTTGTTAATCTAAAAGAGTGTCAAACTCATACACTGACAATATATTGCTGCTAGTGTTTTTCAAATGCAAATGCGGTAGAGACAGTTGCTCCAGTTTAGGAAAAAAATCCAAGTGCCAAAGTCTTGCTTGAAATTTAGATACAGCAGATAGCAATGGTATCTTCAATGAGAGTTCCGTAAAGTTTTGGAATTTTTAAAACCAACTACTACAATTTAAAAATAAAACAAGTTTATGGGCCAGTGACTAAAGTTGCTTCCAAGAAGTCAAAAAAAAAAAGAAAAAGCAAATCAATCAAGATTATTCTGATTTGAGTTTCCACAATTGTAATCTGACAACAATAACTGTCAGCAACATACTGCAGAACTAAAGCTATCATTTTGATACTGATAGCTGAAACCTTGATGGTATTAATTACTACATAGTTAAGGCATGTGCCTCTAGGTATGCTTTGGATATCGTCAGCAGTATGACAACGCTGGGTTAAAAGCTTTCTGTCTGGGTTTCAGGAGGAACCAGGAGGTGGTTTTCCTATGCGGAGCTTGGGTTTATCTGACTGCTATTGCAGCAACCTTCTTTGTTATAGAAAACAAACCAGGAGAGCTTCTAATTGGTTGATTCGGATGCTCACATTTATTACAGACACGGAAGAGTCACTGCCCATGGGACTTTCCCCTGGTATCCAAAGCCAGCTGCCATGGCCCCAAGTTACCATTGCTTAAGTCTACCTGTTTCATGACTTTCTGTTCCCTTCCTCCAAAATGGAAATGGGTCCAAGTAGCAGGTTTTGTTAGGCAGTCCAGAAAGAAAATGATATTTGCCAATGGTTAGGGCCTCTTTCCCCCTCTTCCAATAGTTTGTCAGTTTGAAGAATGAAGGAATAAAACATTCGTTTATTATGTTGAATAAAATTGAAACTCTCTCTTCCATCTCAGTATTTGAAAATTAAATACAATTTAGAATAAAAAAGCCACAGTGTGTTCCTTGTGTCAGGTATTCATTATGTGTAATCAAAAGAAAGGACATATATTTTCATTGAAATGGAAAGACAATTATTCTAACCCTTCATCTAGTGATATTTCCTCTAATGGAGGAAGGATAAAATTGTTGTCTTTCATTCTGTAGTGATTTGCTTCTATTTCGTTGTTCTCTAGATCCAAAAGACATGCCAGATATTAAGTGCTACTAGTCTATTAGAGGGAAAAAAAACCAAAACTAAACCCACTGCCGTTGAGTTGATTCCAACTCATAGCAACCCTACAGGACAGAGAAGAACTGCCCCATAGGGTTTCCAAGGAGCAGCTCGTAGATTTGAACAGCTGACTTTTTGGTTAGCAGCCTGAGCTCTTGACCACTGTGCCACCAGGGCTCCCTATTAGAGAAGGCAACATGGAAAAGTGAAAGCAAAATATTTATAGGAATCTCGGATTAAGCCCCCCAAATAAAATGTGCCTTTATGTATGTATGTATGTATGTGAATGTTTGTGTGGTGTGCGTGTATCTACAGGTGTTTTTGAGAATCATGAAAGGTTGGTGGTGGGGAGTGATTAAAATGAGGATGATGCTAGTTACGATGGAAGCAAACGATTTTAGATCACATTCTCAGGGCTGTATCTGTGTCTAAGCCAGAGGTGCGGTGCCTACCTTATTTGTTGCATCAATAAATTTGACTCCTTTATAAGAGACAGAAAGAATAATAGTAGGGACCTTCTTCATTTGCTCTGTAGACTTCTGAAATTAAAACGAGAAAACTGTTAGGACAGTTTGTGCTGCATGGCAGCTGAAGCACATCATTTTTCCTTTTGAAAGATAAAAATGAGCTCAGGTTAAAAACAACGCACACACACACACCCCAAACCCACTTTAATTTAAATGTTTGTCTCTTTTCCCTTGGGCTTAACTCTGCTTTTGGTTTATAAAGTATCTGTCTTGCACTTAAGGATCTAAAAAGAGCTTGTTCTGCTGCTTCATGTGGGTGAAGGAATGCTCCGTTTCCCTGACTCCAAAGGGAGAAATGCAGAGCCCTGTCTCCTACTGTAATTTCAGGTGACTATTCCTTGGACTAGAGTTAAACTGCATCAGATTCTCCAAGGGTGAATTCAGCATTAACAAAATATATACATTCCTCCACTTTCTTCCTAGTCACCCTCTTTCTTTAAGGCACACGCTATGTCTGGGTATGTACTTAAAATACGGATTTAAAATACATCACTGTGAATTTTTCTTGATATTATGCTTAAAGCCAAATTGCTTGTGACCACATAGGATATAATACTGCTCTGTAATAATTAAACCCTCCAGCAGCAGCCTGTAATCTTGAGCCACGACAAGATACTGGGCAGTCCAGGTAACCTACTTTATCATTTAGAGCTGCAATATTCCCTTAGGCTAAGTTCTTATGATAGATGTTCACATTGGCTTAACGTGCTTAGAGTCTGCAGCCTCTATGCACCTGCAGAAGTTTCTCCGTTATTTAGTATGTGCCTTTTCTGTTTAGTTTTATCATTCATCAACAGTCTGTTTACTTCTGTTCCCTCCATGGACATTCCTAATAATTACATTAAACACCATGAAGAACCTACCTGACAGTTAGCCTGATGAATTTTCCAGAAAAGACAGGTGGGAACATAATAGGAGAGAAAATACATTAAAAAAGTGAGAAAAAGCCATTTCAATAATACACCAATAGCATAAATTCATTAAAAAAAAAAATGATGTCACAAAAGGAGACGAGGCTTTACAGACATACCAAGAGTCAGTGTAACTGTTATTTAAAAAATTGCTGCAGGCTTTCTACAGACGTTTCTTCTCTTCCTTCTCTGTCTTCCCATCATTCTGTTTACTGCATTGCACAGTCTTATGACTGACATTCAAGGACTTTCTACTTTGAGCTTTCGACAACCAGCTGTCTTTACAGTAACTATGTACATTAACAGAATCAGAAAAAAAAGGTCTGAACTTCCCTGACTTCTTCATTTATATTACCCAAATTGCCTTTTTAAAATTCTGAAACACCACCGGGATTCAAGGAGGCTTTTAATTGAACAGTGTGAGTGAAACTAATTTACTCAATAACGATCCCTACATTGTATCTTTCACTTGCGCCACAGAAAGGGTGTTTCACATTTTCCTCATTATTTTGACACAACATCTTTTTGATAGCTACTGTATCTGTTTCAAAGACAAATAAAATGAATTACTAAAAGTATTGCTATTTAGTATTTATCAAATGCTTCATACAGTATAGAAAAAAGCAGCTATCTTAAAGTGCTTTTTAAACTAGTTTTAAAATTACCCAGGCTTGCCAGTGTTCTTCTGTGATTGTCAAAAAGAGGTATTACGAAATTGGAATAGAAGGTTAGATACTCTTATCTTTTTAATGCTCTTTCCAACCACTTCTGAAAAAAAACACGCACGATAAATCAAAGGCAAGGCTAGAAGAAATAACGTGCAGTGTGCTGATTTTAAGGCAAAGCAGTGGGCTGGACTCTGTAAAGAGAGGGTGGTGGCATACAGTGCTGTGTTTGATGTACTGAGTATGTGAGAGAAGAATTCTTTGCAAAGAGTAAGAATGGATTTCAATAAAGCACCTCGCTCATCTCTTTACACATACATTCTCTTGGACAGATACATCTGCAATGTGAAACAATCTATAGCTAACATAAAACTGAAACAGCAACATCTTATTTAGTATTAAGAAATACTCATTTGTCATTCATTCAGTAGTTGGGTGGTTATTTCAGGCCAGCCACTGTGCTTGTCACTACAGTAGCTACTTCAAGGGATGTCAAACAGACCTCAAATTGTGTGAAAACATCAATCTGCTGAAAGTGGCTGCTTGAAGTGCTGTGTTGAGAGGGATGCTGACCCTCTGTGTTGAAGAGGATTTCAGCCCTCTTCCCACTGTCTGGGCTCAGTGGAAAAACGGCTGGGAAGAATGTCTGCTGTGGAAGATGGAGAGGGACAGGCAGTACATGACACAGACATTGCCATTCCTGCTCTAGACTGATACGAAGAATAGCTACAATACAATGTTGACAGATGCAACCAGAGATATGCAGAGTTCTGCCAGAGCACGGACGAAGAGCCTAACTTTGCATGAGAGTGTAGGGAAGTCTGCATGCATGCATGCATTCCTTCACTCAACAGTTACTGCCTGCCTGCCTGCCTGCTAGGGATGACTGAGATAGGGCTTAAAGGATGAATAGAAATTTCCAGGTGGCAAAAGTGGACAAAAAAGGCTTTATTAGCAGAACACACACACACACACACACACACACACACACACACACACGCGCCTGGAAATGAGAAGCGATATTGTGGGTTTGGGGAATCATGGGAGATGAGGATGGTGGAGTAGGTGTGGTCGATTGTGACTTCCTATGCTATGTGAAGCCAGAGTGGGGATGCACTGGAGGTTTGTAAGTAGAGTGACACAATGAGATCCGTGTTGCAGAAAGACAGTTCTGGTGGTTGACAGAGGATGGACTGGAGCAGCCAGAGGCTAGATGCAGGGAGACAAGAAGCTGTTGTGCAAAGCGAAATAAGAGCCCCAAAGCACTGGAGTTAAAGCAGAGGTCCTGGAGAAAGGAAGGAGGAGCTGCTAATGAATGAACTGTCAATGAGGAAGAATCAAGAAGATGAGCTGACTGATCCGCTGTGGAAGTAGGAGGATGTCATAGATGATGAAGCCCTTAACTGAGCTAAGGAATAATGGAAGGGGACATGTTTTTGCATAAACATAATGGAAGTGCTTTTGAACACGCTGAGTTTGATAAACAGGTGGAGATGTCCAGTAGGAAACTGCAAACAACAATCAGATCTGGAAATTCACCTGCAGAGACAGAGTAGCAGAGGACATGGGAGCAGATGAGGTGGCTCAAGGAGAGACAAAGAGAGAAGAGGGCTAAGGACTGCATCTCAGGGGAAGATTAATATTTAAGGAGTGGGGCACAGGAAGAAGAGCCAATGAAGTAGACCTGGCATGAAGACGGAAGAGACTGCAGAGCACTATCACGGAAGCCAAGGAGAAGGGTGCTTAGAAGGTAGAAGCAGTGTGGAATGCAATGAGGACTAAACAACTGTGCCCAGCCCAGTGGCTGGCATACATAGGTGCTCCTATATTTATTGGGTTTACTGGGTGAAATCCTTGGCTTTAGCAACTAGATGAATTTTGTTGTTGGTCTTATTAACTGCAGCTTCAGGAGAATGGGGGCAGCAGAGAGCAGAAAGGAATATAATGGGTTGTACAATGAATGTCAGTGAAAGGGAGAGGACAGCTGAAGGGTGGGCAAATCGAGGCACATGATTTTAGGCTGAAATGAAGGCATCAGTAGTGGTTTCTGTCATAATACAAGGATTCCAGATCACATGCGCAGCTGAGCTGAACAAAGAACAGATAAAGGATGGCCTTCTCTGTTTCTCTGGTGGGTCCCACGACTCCCTGCTTTCCTAACTGGAGGCAGCACTGGAGGTGGTCACGTGTTCCAATATGGAGACTACACCGTCCTTCTATTGCCACTGAGTCCCTTCACAAGAAGATGATGGATCCTGGCCAGCTGTGGAGTTAAAAGGGACGTGGGAGGCCTTCAAAGTACTGCTCCTCCTTTAAGACATTGATACTTTCTACAGGAGATAAGATTCCAACCACTTTTTAGGAGATTTTCTGATAGTGTACTTTGCCAGAGCTTTTAAAGAGGTCTTTTCATACACAACTTTAACAAAAGATGAAAACGCATTAGACAGAAGGCCAATACACTGAGTCTTCAGGGAGACTAATCAGGGAGGCAAGAAATCCAATAAACACCCACTTCATTTCATTAAGGTGTTACAGATATTGAAATGTGAGCGTGGAGCTTCACAGCAGTCATAGGCGGCCTAAACGCCGCCCTCCCTACTTTCTCCTCAGTGTTGGAATCGCCTTCTCCTCCTCCTAGGGGATGGAGGTACTGGCTCTGAACTCCCCACCTCAAGCTTACAGAGCATGCTCTGAGGCAACGCTGGTTTCTATGACCTATCTGCCTGCTTAACTGGGCTTTTGTGTGAGTAATTCTCCCATGTTGTTTATGTTAAAAGTTCAAGCCTTATTTATTTGTATAAACAGAATTCTCTTCTCCAGGCCTATCTCCTCAGTAAAATGCTCAGGGCAAATCTTACGTTATGGTTCTCTTTTGTTTCTAGTTGCTCGATGTGGAATTTCTGAGCTTTCCCAGAGTCCTCAAATTCCCACCTTCAGTGCCGGCTTTACATGACAGACTAATTTATAATGAGGACCTCCAAGTCCCTAAACAACAGAATACTCATGGGTAAGGTCCAAAATGAACTTAACCTTTATAGCATCTTACTTTCTTGCAAAGAGCATTCGAATGTATTTTGTTCATAATTTCCCACATTATGATTATCATCCTTTTATTATTCTAAGAGAAACAATATCTGGTTATACAGAAATGCTATATTTCTGAAACCTAAAACAAGATGAAGCTTTAAATCTTAAATCCAAAGGCAGCCTTATATTTATCACTTATATTTATCTAGTCTATAAACATTAAACAGAACAGAGATCATAATTTCTTATCTGGAGGTGGCTATCCGAAATACTAGGTTCTTAATAACTAAAATAATTGAGCAGTTTTAGAGCATTTTATAAAAGTAGAATTTTTTTTTTTATTCATCAAGGAAAAGAAATGACCTTTTTTTTCTCTTTTTAATTAGAAATTATGTACTGCTTAGAATTTTTGTAAAGGAGCCCTGATCATGCAATAGTTAAGTGCTCAGCTGCTAACTGAAAGGTCAGTGGTTTGAACTCACCAGCCGCTCTACGGAAGAAAAGACCTGGCTATCTCTTCCTGTAAAGATTACACCCACTCCTCACTTATTGACATGGTTAGGTTCCAAACACCAGGTTGTTATGTGAAAATCGGTTTTGTACAAAAATGGAGGATGACTACATCATTACATGACTGCCAAATTACATCATTACATAACTGCTAAATGACATCGTTACATAACTGCCAAACCATTGAGAATCACAGTCCAGCCAAGTTGACACATAACCTTAATCTTCACAGCCAGCGTTACTCTCACCTCACACGCTGGCTTTTGTTACTGTCAGATGTACATTGTTAACATGCAAAATAGTTGGACAGTAGATTTTTTACTATTGTCGTAAATGCGAAATGTCAGATAACAAGATAGTCAATAAGTGAGGAGTGGGTGTACAGCCTAGGAAACCCCATAGGGCAGTTCTACTCTGTCATATAGGGTCACTATGAGTTGAAATCGACTTGATGGCACACAACAACAGCAGAAACAGAATCTTTGTTTCAGGTCAGAATTCACGACTGGTGCTTTTACTTTAGCCTTAAAGCATGTTCTAAAAATAAGTAACTCCCATTTTCTAATGTAGAATCAACAGTATCCCAATGTTCTTTTCAGACTGGATGGACTCTGATCCCAGTACATGGCTTTCACAAGCGTGAATGAGAGCAAAGAGAGTTACGATGGGGAGCACTTCAGTTGTGAGCTGTAATGTTGGGTTTGGGTTTGGAATGATGTTTATGTTCCTAATAAGAACTATTTGTACCCGATAATCAGC